CCAAGAGCTGCTCTCCATGGCTAACTTTGAAGAATATGTCCCAGTTGATGTTGAGGTGGAGAAAGCTGCAGGACCCGCCAGTTTCTTTGCCAAGACTCGTCAGCGTATGGTGCTTGATGGAGTGACTCTGGCAAACTTGGAAATCTTTCAGAATGGATCAGGAGGAACAGAAGGGACACTGCTGGAGCGTTTGGACACCTGCTCTACTCCGTTTGGAAAGAGGCTTTTGAAGCAGTGGCTCTGCGCTCCTCTGTGTAACCCCACATCTATCAGGGACAGACTGGATGCAGTGGAGGACCTGATGGGAGTTCAAGCCCAGGCTACTGAGGTTTCAGACCTTCTAAAAAAACTTCCAGATCTAGAGCGCCTGCTAAGCAAAATCCACAGTATCGGGACACCTCTGAAGAGCCAGGACCACCCTGACAGCAGAGCAGTTCTCTATGAGGATGTGACCTACAGCAAGCGCAAGATAGCAGTCTTCCTCTCAGCACTGGAAGGTTTCAAAACGATGCAGGACATTGTTTCTCTCTTTGCTCCAGTTTCAGGCGAGTTTCGTTCCACGTTGCTTTGTCGAGTTATCAGCCTGAATAGCGAAAAGAACGGCCTCTTTCCCGACCTCTCTGGTGAACTCAAACGCTGGGACACTGCCTTTGACCACCAGAAAGCCCGCACTACTGGAGTAATAACCCCCAAAGCTGGCTTTGACCTGGAGTACGACCAGGCTCTGACTGGAATCAAGAACTGTGAACGAGAGCTGCAGGATTACCTGGACAAACAGAAGAAGAGACTTGAATGTAAAAGCATGTGCTTCTGGGGAACTGGGAAAAATCGCTATCAGATGGAGGTTCCTGACAGCGTCTTGGAGAAGAATATCCCCGACGAGTATGAGTTAAAGTCTACAAAGAAAGGCTGGAAGCGTTATGTGACAAAGAAGACTGAACGGATGTTCTCAGAGCTGCAAGGATTTGAGGAGAAGAGAGATGCTGCACTCAAAGACTGCATGAGGATGCTCTTCTATAACTTTGACAAGAACTACAGTGACTGGAAGACTGCTGTGGAGTGCATGGCAGTGCTTGGTAACAATCCTTTTGTTTTATTTTATTTTTTTAATTAAAAAGCTTCTTTTTTTTTTCTTTTTTTTTTCCTTTTTTTTTTCCATCTTCTCGATATGTAATTTGTGTTGTTTTCACTACACCGGTCTGTTCTCAGTACATTTCCTGCAGATGTTACAGAGAAACTGTCATACTGTGTTTTTTAAATAATGATGTTGCACCAGTCTGAGGGCTTGTTAGAAGTAAGTTCATTTATTTCACAGCTTGGCTAAGTCTCTGTTTCAGGGAAATTCTATGTTGATGTTTGCAGTTATTTAGATTATTGCATAGTTTTTGATTTCTGAAAGTGTTTGTACCACTGGGACACGTCCAGCCACAGATTTGGTTTTATTGTAGCAAAGCAGACCTATAAGACGTGCATTTAATATGCGCATTTTTTTTTAATTCTTAAATGTAAATAATTAAATGTTCAGTACTTCTTTTTTATTTATGTCCTTTTTTTTTTTGTCCCCAGATGTGCTGCTGGCCTTTTCTCGCTACAGCCAGGGCGGCGACGGGCCTATGGCCAGGCCAGAGGTTGTGCTTCCCGAGGATGATGCCCAGGTTGCAGCCTTCATCGACCTCAAGGGATCCCGTCATCCCTGTGTCACCAAGACCTTTTTTGGCGACGACTTCATTCCTAATGACATCTTCATTGGCTGCCCTGGCACCGGTGAAAATAGTGAAGATGACAGTCTGGCCTCTTGCATCCTCGTCACAGGGCCAAACATGGGTGGAAAGTCTACTCTAATGAGACAAGTGGGTATTTTTGACTATATGTATAAATGTATACATACAATTTCATACGTTTTTTTTCCACAGTCTACATAGACGGTGTATTTGCAGTCTCAGTTGGTCCATATTAAGATATCGTGCTGCTCCTGTTGTACAGTGTGGACTCGTGATCATTCTTGCCCAGCTGGGTTGCTACATTCCAGCTGAGAGCCTCCGCTTCACACCAGTTGACAGGGTCTTCACCCGGCTGGGCGCCTCAGATCGTATTATGGCTGGTAACATCAGAGACTCTTAACATATTAGGAATAATGATCTGAGCTTGTGCTTCATGAGCTGAGCGTGTATTTTCAACTCTGTGCTCTACAGGAGAAAGCACCTTCTTTGTGGAGCTGAGTGAGACTGCCAGCATCCTGCGCCATGCCACTAAACACTCACTTGTGCTTCTGGATGAATTGGGTAAGCATTTATTTAGTTTGCTTATTAAAGCTTATTCACATGATTGGTGGATAGCATAGACTGTATTCTCAGCACAATATTGTTGTGGTGTAATCACTGAGCTGTGAACTGCTTGCAGGAAGGGGCACAGCCACATATGATGGCACAGCAATCGCCAGCGCTGTTGTAAAGGAGCTTGCTGAGAAGATCTGCTGTCGCACTCTCTTCTCTACACATTACCACTCCCTGGTGGAGGACTATGCCAACAACCCTGCCGTGCGTTTGGGCCACATGGTGAGTACAGCAATGCTAATCACACTTGATACTCGACAATGCAAGGTCATTTAGGACTGTAATAAAAAGACAAATTTATATACCAATTAAATAGTACATTTTGCAAGGAAATGAATCCTGAAATAAATAAATGAGGCTATATTTTTATAAATTAATGTCAAATACAACGCTTAAATGATAAGCAAATTATTGCATTCTGTTTTTAATTTAAATTCTTCACAGTTCACAGTACACACATGTACAAGACAAATGAAAGCAAAAACTTTTAGTGCGAGACACTGAATTGAGCAGTTTGTGGCTACATCTGCTCTTCGAGCACAGCTGCATGCCTGGAGCCCTAGCCGCAACTGGCAGCTTCCTGCTCTTAACATTTTGCTGTTTTAGTAACATGGTGCAAAAAATTGTAAGGTTTATTGTAGGGTCTACCTTACAATATAAAGCCCCTTGAGGCAACTGCTGTTGTGATTCGTCACTGTATAAATAAACTGAAGAAATAAAGAAATTTTGAACTCACCAGAATTTGATCGTTTCAAATTGTGCACGGCAAGTTTCACACAATTGCTCAGACACCGATATTTACGGTTTGTTAGTCTGTGTTACTTTAGTGTATCGTATATAATGTGCACTATGGTGGCATTACTGTAAACAGCTTTGGTATGCGAATTTCTGTTATGAAACATCAGGTTGAGCCTTTTAGTTGTCAAGGCATGACAACTGAGGGAGGGATAGGACCTAGAAAATGAAGTCATAAATTGGATGAAGGTCTCATTTAGTTCTTATCAACTCATTAGCAAAAGTGTTTAGTCGGGTCATAAAGGAGGATGGCAGCTCATTTCGGACTTTTTACCACCAAAATTGCCTCCTGCTGTTCATTAGGGGGAACAGCAGGAGGCAATGATTTATTTTTCAAACCCGGAGGATTTACTAGGGTTTTGTTTTTGTTTTTTTTTCTTTAATGCAGTTGGTTTGTGGGTTTTAAGTATCATGTTTCCCTTTCGCCCCCTCCTTCAGGCGTGCATGGTGGAGAATGAGTGTGAGGATCAAAGTCAAGAGACCATCACTTTCCTCTACAAGTTCATAACGGGTGCGTGTCCTAAGAGTTATGGATTCAATGCTGCTCGACTCGCCAACCTACCAGAGGAAGTTATCCAGTCAGGACACAGGAAGGCCAGAGAGTTTGAGACAAGCACCGTCAATCTCAGACTTTTCAAGTACGTATTATTGTTTCGCATCAGTTATTCTGCAGATACTAGTGACACACAATGCTGATCTGTTAAAGTCAGAGCATGGTTACTTATGTTCCCTCCTGTCCCCTCATGTAGGAAGCTGTGCCAGTTTGCTGAGGATGCTACACTGGACAGCACCCGTTTCACTTCCCTCATTCAACTGCTCAGTACTCTGTAAAATGTTGTTAAAAGTTCAATGCATTTTTTGTTTTGTTTTCTTGTCATTAAAAAAAACACTACTGAATTGATCTAATAAAGTTTATTTTTAAAAAATGACAATGTTTCATCTAGGAAATTAAACCCTTTTAATTCACGCTAGCGCCTACATAACGGTTATTGAATACTTCACAATATATTAAGTCTAGATGTTATGATACATGCATACATTTCAGTCTGTATGAGAACCCACAATCACCAGTACACATGAATTGGGGGAAGGGGGCAATAAAACCAATAAAGCGCTGTATATAGATACTTGTCTCAGCTTCAGTAGAGTAAAAGCCTCTTTAAATTCTCCAGCAACATTGGCAAACAATGGAAAAACACATCAAAACTTATGCTTTCATAAGAGTGCTCTTTCATTTGGAGGACAAAGGAAGCCAGAATTTGTATCCTAATGGGCTGTTAAACAGCATCTGTGCCTGCGATGGTAGCGAAAATGACACCTGTGTCAGGATTACCTACTGAACTGAGATCGATTCACAAAGTAACAGACTAAATGGCATCAGGTCATTTATTGTCAAATTCTGACCAGGGCCGGAGATTATTAAAAAGAAACCTGTATTAATTAGCTTATCATGGGTTAATTTCCAATCAAGATGCAGTTGCATGTCAATCTGTACTGCCTGGTCTTTAATTTAAGTAATGGTGACAGGCCAACAGATACTAAACCAAAAAATATGCATAGATCATGTAAAGCAGACTGGAATATCATCAACAAACACAAGAAGATATACAAGTCTTGTGAAAGCACAATTACACATCTAATTTTTCTGTATTGCAAGTGTAAAGGAGTCAACATTGCTGGAGAAAGTGTTTAGTGTTTTCCTCTCTTGTCTCTGATCTCTTTCACAGAAAGAAGTTAGATACTGCGACATGAGTATAATTACAGCAATCCTAGGGTATAATAACAAAAAAAAATTAAAACACATTTAATAAAATAAAGACATTCAAGTACAGTAAGATTTTGCATGAAAATACAAAACTACACAAAGAAAAGCATTAAAATCAAATCTCAACAGTTGTCTTGAAGAAGAAAAAAAAATGCTGAAGTGCTAGGTCGTTTTTCCCGTACATATCATACGAGCACGTCGGTTGCCCAGTGATGGAAGCATTGTTGTATTTGGGGGCTTTTGCCTTTTCATGAGACGAGCTGTAGCCTCTTCTGACTGACTCTCCATGTTGGATCTGTACACTGCAGTATCTCATTCATCCGCTTCCCAAAAGCAGATAAGCCTCGGTGGATTTTGTCCAACTCTCACCGGCATCATTTACTTGACCAAATCAACAGACCTACAAATCCCAAATCAGTTGCTCTTCTGCTCTGTCCCACTGATGTCATCTTTTGTTAAAAAAATGTAAGGAAAAGAAAATGTGAGGCATCCATAATCACCTTTTTCTAAATGTCTCCTTTTAGAATATCCGAGTCGCAAGTCTTTTTTTGTTTTACTTTTTAAAGTCACTGTATATTTTTGCCAAAGTGAATCTGTGTTTTAGTTTGGAATTGCTCTTCCACGGCACAACTTAAAGTGTCTTATACGTCCATTACTGCTGAAGCGCAGAAGCACCTCGGGACTTGAGCTCAGTTGTGCTGCAGTGTATTGGACTCTATAGGGGGAGCTGAGTCATACAGAGTGTCTGTGTCATGTGTCGGCTCTCCTGCTAACGTGCAAGGATTTGACAGCGTCCCAGCACCACAGTCACAGAAGAATCTGTAGGCAGAGACGGAGGAGAAAAATTTATTATGTTTGGTCCCCGAAAACAGAGAAGAGAGTACATTATATTGTATTTAATATGCCTTTATACATCTGTGACTAGTAAAAAATTAAACAGTGTAATCAGACCCCAAGCTTCTTATAAGCGAGCATGCACATTATTCTCTTTACCATCAGGCAGACTGACTAGTTTTGTTTCTCTTCATTCAATTCCTCCTACCACTGTCTGTATCAAAATTTGCTTATTTGAATTAATTATCAGTGCACTTAGCAGCAAGCTATTTGTCTCGGAGATGGTATCTCTACATCAGCAAATAAAGATGTGGCAGGTTAAGCCAAGCTTGCATTATAAAATACACTGAAACAGCAGTGATCTGCTGCAGCTTATTGATATCCACCATCATGAGAAACACTGCTGCTGGTGTGTGTGTGTGTGTGTGTGTGTGTGTGTGTCATGCAGGGAGAAAGAGCAGCAATTCTTAATTCCTTGTTTTGTGAATGCTGTGTTCTGCTTCTGCACTTTCACTCTGGTCTAAAGTGGGAAGCCTCAAAGGAAGGCACCAGCAAGCCAGTCTGTCATCCGTTTACATCCAGGGTGTATTTAGTTTGTTCTGTTTACTAGCATGCATCAGTCAGACTTACCTATCGTGTCTGATGAACTCTACATCATGTCCTTGGTGACACTTCTTGATACAATTCACGCAAATGGCGTTGCGGTCTGTTGTGTTACAAGTGTGACACCTATGGAAACCCAAGGTGTGTTTTTTTTAACAATCACAAACAAAAATAGCTGAGGTTATTTTTGAGTGCGAGAGGTGAAAAAAAGTTTACCTGTAAAAATCGTGCATTGGGTAGCTGGTGTAACTTGAAATCTTGTACAGGCACTGACCTCTGCTCACAGCTTTTTCAATGGCATCTTGATTGTTCAATATTTTATTATCTGGAGGAAACGGAAATTTGTATGAGATTTCTGCATTTTTATTCAATAATATTTAAAAATCTTTGCCACTAATACTGTACCTTTCATTGTAACATTGACACCAGACGCAAGAAACAACCCCCCAAAACGATTGTTGAAGATCTGATTGCCCTCTAGAGTCGCCGTGGCATGGTTGGTGATTTCAATACCTAGTTTTACATAAACAAATAAGAATAATCAATTTACAAAGACACAGCGATGTTGAAAGTCCACAATAATTAAATTCAAGCATCTCATCATGAGCTATTAAAGCTAGCGTGCATGCATTACCCACCTGCAGCGAAGCCATCAAATATCCTGTTTTTCCGCAGTACTGGGTGACTGTTGGTGCTAATGAGGACCCCCGCTTGGGCATTTCTGAAAATGTCATTCTCCTCTAGTAAACCTAATAACAGAAAATGGACTTTTAATCTGACAATTCACTAACATACCAAAAGATAGGATTACATTAATTTAGGTCTGAATTTCCTAATATTATAAAGCCAAATTAGATCTACACTACTTTTAACCACTTGAATATTTACTCCACTTCCTTTCTGTAATGAATCGGTTACCTCTTCCTCCGTTGAATATACAGATCCCGCCATCTCTACCGTCGTGGATTTTATTCCTCCGCAGAGTGGGGTTGCTGTCTGTCTTTATCCACACACCTGCCATTGCATTGTCAAAGATCTCATTGTCCTCGATGAAACCTAAGCCTAGAGAACATATACATGGATGTTTTGTTATTGAGGCAATATTGTTTAAACAGTATATTAACTATGGCAATGAAGAGAACAATAAGACAGAAAAATCTCTTCTTCTCACCTGAGTTGTAAACCAAAATGCCGCCATTCTGGCCTCCCCAGATCTTGTTCCGTCTGATCTTAGGATTGCTGCCCGTCCTGGGGAGGGAGGACACAATGGAAAAGTGAGCAGCTGCTTCAATACCACTCTACCAGACCTCCCTAACATCAGGACATTGCTCAGGTGAATCTTGCTTATGTTACTTGTTATTATTTGTCATGTTACACAAACCTTATTTGAACTCCAGAGTACATGTGATTGTAGATATCATTGTCTTCAAGCACACCGTGGCCATTGTCATAGAAGTAAACTCCAACCTGTTAAAATGGCAATGAAAATATATTGGCTTTAATTTAGTGATTCATAATGTGCTTGTACATAAATATGGTTTATTCCTTTATCCATCTTCTTTTAATTCACAGGGTATCAAGTTGGTCTTAGATGGAACTTTGTGATCTCATGACATCAGAATTATGACCATTATGATCAGATGAACAATATACATCCCTCTAGGTGTACTAACTAGCCTGTGATCTGACCTGCTTCCCGCTGTGTATCCTGTTCCTCCTCAGCACTGGCGTACTGCCCGTTGTAACCCACACTCCTGCCAGTGTGTTGCTGTACACCTCATTCTCCTCAATGACTCCTTGTCCTTTTTCATGCTGCATGGCACAGAAACAAACGGTTTCACCTCATAATAAAAATAAGAAACCTGGAATGAAAAACCCTTAAATATGCAAAACAATATTTTTAGAAATATTTACCACATATATTCCTCCATGTTGGCCATCATGAATCTTGTTGTGCCTGACAATAGGGCAGCTATTTGTCCTGATCTGGATTCCTGCCAAGGCGTTACCATAGATGTCGTTTCCTTCAATGAGGCCTCGGCCATCACCAAAAATATAAACTCCACCTTGGTTACCATTAAAAATGGCATTGCCCCTGTTTTGGACAGAACAAATTTGAGAACCTGAATAATTGGATAGATTTGAATGCTGACCTGATTTGAGCTCAAGACTTTCAGTTCATACTGACCGTATTGTGGGGTCACTGTTGGAAGTGATCCACACGCCTGCAAAGTTATTCGCAAAGATCTTGTTTTCAATGAACTGGCCGCGACCCTTTTCATGCACGTAGATGCCTCCTGTCTGACCATGATGGATCTCACAACGAACCACTGTCGGATTGGCGTATGCCTTCACCTCAAAGCCGGCTATACGGTTCCTATGGATGTTACAGCTCTCAAAGTAACCCTGGAGACAGAGAATGACAAACCTATTATAAGTCCATCAAAGTGGTTTTTAGCTTATATGTATAAGTGCACCATCATCATGTTGTTTTATGTTTTTCACCTAGTTTATCTGCACTAGTGTTATTTGGCTACTACATATTGTACATTTGAATTTCTTCTCATACAATTTAGTGGCTGACAAACATACACAACATAAAACCATCAGTAAAGTGGATCTCACCATGCCGTGGTCAAATGTAAAAACTCCCACGTCTCTGCCGTGGTGGATGTGATTCCGTCTGATGATTGGGTTGCCGTGGTTTTTCACCCAGATCCCAGCCAGAGCGTTGTTTGAAATCTCGTTGTCTTCATAGATTCCCTGAACGACATGAAGAACTGCATTTAAAATAAACCTACTCGTCCCCAGCTGGGCCTGATGCTTTATATAAAACCACAGTTTATCCTTTTTCGCCTTTGTCTTATCAATGGCCAGCTTCTTCTAATGGGAAGTTCTTCCTGAAAAGCTACATCACTGGTTTGAAAACACAGCTTTGGCAAAATTGATCAGAATAAAAGGAGCACTGGTGTAAGGCTCTGAAAACAAATGGCAAATCTAAATAACATAATTATAGTTCTTGATTAAAAATAGCAGCTTTTCCAACCAATCCTGTCAACCTAAACATCTGCAGCAATACAGCAAGAATTCTTTGGTCATTCCAGTTACCTACTTTCTAAGTGACATAAAGGTGAACGTACTCTTTCACTCACAAGATGTATAATATTTTTTCTTTTGTTTTTTTCCTGTCAACAGATGTATGTGTAAATCATTTGCTGGTAGGAAACACCAAAGTTAATGTAGCAAGTTAAGTGTTATTGTGCATAAACCAAACAACTATAAATCTCCCTGCCCTGTCAGTTATTTGTATGCAATTATATGCTTTCAATGCTACTCAAGGAGACAGTTTGGCAAGAATGTGTTCATTCATTTACATTTGCCAAGGAGACTAATTTGACTCTATTGGTGTGCTTTGCCTCCTGCAGATGACCAGAACCACACAATCAGAAAAACAAGCAAACAAACACTAGAAACTGGGTCTAAGGCCTGAACTCTCGCCTTGCTGAATGACTCACTCATCACAAATACATGTATGATTATTTGGACATGTTTAATACTAACTTTTAGCACTGTAACATTATACACACGACAGAAAATAGCAACAAACAAAATAATAGGTCAGCTGTAAGTCTGCTGATTAGTTTCCATTTTTCCTTAACCTTATAGATAAAAGACTGATGTCTGTAGACTGGACTTAGACTTGTGATGGTATTCAGAAGATGTGAGACTGCTGGACACGCTCAGCAGAAGCTGACATATGCATTTGAGTTCTATATTTAAATAACATGAAAAACAGGTGTGCATTACCTGTGCATGGTCAGTGATGTAAAGACCAACATTTTCGCAGTCACTGATGTTGCAGTGCTTGATTGTGGGACAAGCACCCTGACCACTGACACACACTGCTGACCCCACTGAAACAAGTACGACAATGATATATTAGTCCACAAATCTACCTGTCAAAACAAGCAACGAAAACAATCTGTGCGCCATCATGGAAAAAAAAAGAAAATAACACTTCATCACGAACACAAACACAAGACCTCGGTAATTCTCAGCCATTTTATCTTATGAGGAACCAAAAACAACTTTAGTTTCTGTCAAATGCTCCCACTGACCCCTCTGAAGGCCTGAAAAGTCAGATCTAAACAAAATTACCTGTGCACGTGCTGCGTATGATGCAGTGGTCAATGATGGGGCTGCAATTGACTGTAATCTCCAAGCAATGGTGTGCATTGTGGTGCTGGGCGGATTTATCATCAGGATTAAACTGCAGGAGAGAAAACTGTTAATGTTGAATGTGACTGACAACAGTAGCTAAAACAGGACTAACATACATACAACATGGGGGAAAAGGAAACATTTACTGTATATGTGAGGAAAGAAATATCAGAGTCATCTCACCCTAATGGTCATGTATCCAACATAAGCATCTTCTGAGCCTTCCATGAATACAAACGTAGAGTCTCTGGTATTCTCAATGATAACTTTCTCTGCTACTTTTCCAGGAGCTGCAAAAAGACCAGACTGGTTTAATTAGAGACCAGACTAAACAAGGGTGCACTGAAACCGTAACCATGACTACAAACGCACTTACCAGCCCCGATCATTGTGATAGGCGACTCGATGTAGATCCATTCGTCTGTGTAAATACCAGAGTGGACAAATATCAGGCCGTCAAAGTGAGGCTCCTGACCCCCTCCAAGAGCATCTTCAATGGTGTCATAGTACTGGGGGAAGGGAAAAGAAAAAAGTAAGAAAAGAGAACAGGTCAGATGAATGACCGCAACATTAAAGTGGAAGATTTGTTTGTTTTTTTAAAGTATGTAATAATTACACTTACAAACATGTTATCTCTTCCTTTGTATCTGGCAGGATTACTGTAAAAGTGTTCTGCAAAGCCTGGTTTTACATGTGCGCCTTTATACTGGGGGGGAAAGGGAAGAAACACTACTATTATTCATATGTGGAAGAAGTGAACAATTACAAAAGGATTGTGTAATGAAAAAGATGGAGGAACAAAGGGAAAAGAGACAATTTTGCTGAAGGGAAAAGAAAATACTTAAGATCAGTGTATTACAGAGAAAATAATTGTAAACACTATTTCCATCTTAAAAAAAACATCCTCTTCTACGCTTTTATTTCAATACTGAATGTCACTTTGTGACTTCAGCTATGTCCACACTGGTAGAATTTACATTAGCAAAAAGGTCACAGAAGAATCATTCAAAGATTCAACAATGACCTAGTTTCTGTCTCAACACTGCCTTTAAAGTTGCTCAATAATGCACTACTATATAAAAATTGGATTACATGTATAAGAAGGTTCTACCCAAATGGCCCCACCTGATTCCCTTCAATTTTCTCATTAATATTTCAATGATTAAAAAGGTTTTATTATAAAAGTATTTCTTAAAGCATTTTAGATAATGTGTTTTTCATGGCCTGCTTCATTTAGGACTGAAGCTCTGTAAACATTATTTAGGTCACTTTAGTCTGAAACCAATGCTACTACATTGTATGTCAGTAGTTTCCATACCAACTGCTGAAAACTTTCCTTCCATGGGTTTGGCTGCTCATATTCTTCTGGGTTTATCTGGTAGAATTTCCCTGCCTCAGGGTGCATCATGGGTCGCGTGTATTCAAAAACCTCCATGTACAGCCTCTTCCTGAAATGTGAAGGCATACCAGGAGTTTACATCCTTCGATTTGTCAGAATTCCTTACAATACAGAAGTCATTGTTTGGCAAAAATGTGATGAACACGTTTTTAAAAAAGTCACGTCCACAATATAATTGTTGACACACTGGCCCACTAGCAAAAAGGCTGCAACATTATATGGTGGCTGGGCTACTTTCATTTGTTATTATTAGTAGTATTAATACAGACTACTGTCCTTCTGCACACTAGTAATGATGAGCCAGCACCCAAGACTCAATGAAGAACCACAGAAACAATTGTAAAGTGTATGCATGCATGCATGTGTGTGTATATATACATTTATATTTTATTGAGGCATTGAAGACAAACTAATGCAGTGGGTGCTCAAAAAGTGCTTGTTCTGAATAGACTGCAGCTTACAGCATGAGTGGGTTATTGAAGTCATTTGTGGCAGAAGAGAACAGTGTGTCAGCAAAATACATGGCTGGTGCTGGTTGCCAACATTTAGCTGCAATGATTCAACAACACAGGCCGCAAACTGCAATCCAGATTTTTTGGTAAATCGTGTCCACACTTCTGAATCCATCCACTCAAAGGTGAATGGTTCACGTGGCATCATGAAATGAAACGACGCTGTATCGATTAAAAAATAAATTGTTCCAATGACGCGTGGGAGGAAAACATTAAACTAAAGTGCTCATCCCAATGACTTCAAGCTCAACAGTGTATGTACCGCAACAAATCGACCAAGTCTGAATTACATTTGTTCTAAAGAAAAGTAAAGCAGTGACACACACCCACACATCTAATTATTAAAGATGGCTTGCTCACAACATAAAATGAGATTTCTGTTGCTGTTAAATCAACAATAATATCTGGTTTCTGTTGGATTCTTAACATGTAATCAACAATTCAAATTTAGATTAACCACATTAACAAACTCTAATTTAAAGTTAGTAAAGGCTAATGGCTATAGAAAAAGGGTTACCATATTAAAATAACCGTAAAAAAAAAAAAAAAAAAGGGGGGGGGGGGCACAATAGGATGTTTTGTCATTTTGTCATGTCTCACCAGAGGATAGGGTCATTGGCCAGCTCACTGAAGCGTTTGCACACACATGCTGCACGGCACAGGTCCTGCTCCAACAGGTATGAGAAGATCTTTAGCACCACCTCATCTGGAAGCTTCTCTTGCAAATACTGCTCTGCTGGAGCTGCTGGGAGAAAGACGATCACTGAATTAGACATGCATGTAATGATTTTCCAATTCCACACATAAAATCAATCCTCAGTTTTTGGGCTATAGTTTAACTCATACAGACACAGCATATTCATCTGCATAACAATATTTTTTTTCATGAAACAAAAGATAATGGGCCATGGCTTTCTCATAATAAAAACAATGTTGAACTTTTTGCCAGCTTACAAATTTGATCTTTTTGTCATTTTACTTCTCTGTCAATTGTACACATAATCCAAAATAATCCATTTTTTAAAAAGGTATTAGCTCAGCCTCTAAGATGATCTGCTCAGTAGCAGTCACCGCTGTTCGGAGACTGTCGATGACCTAGAAGTACTTTTAGTTTTAAACACAGATCATGTAGAACAACAGTATGCGCACAACATAAAGATATTCTGACAATTGTAAAGGCAGAACCAAATGCCATCTAACAAGGCAAGCATTTAGTTGGGATGCTTTGGCTGGAGCAACATTATATAAAAAATACACCATACACCACAAATAACAGACTTTATACTCTCCAAATGACAAATTTATGGAGTTGCTTCACAATTTTAGCAAAGACATTTTTAGAGAGATTACTCTAAAACATCTTTATACTATAACACAGTCATTTTCCCCAAAATTGCCAATCATAAGAATAGCTAGGATGGACTGAAGAATAAAACTGTCATGTTAAGTCCACCAAAACATGAGTAACTGCCATTGGTTCACTAAAGTTTATACCATAGTTTCTTGTCATATATTATTTTTAAATTAAGCTAGAGATGACATAAGACCCATATAACTATGCCATAACAAGTCTGTGTACCACATAGGCCTCTGGTACTCATAACGTTTCAAACCCCCAAGAAAAGATATAATCATAACATAAAAGATTTAGTAAAAAGAAATATGACACTCTGTATGACATACAACTGCACACTACTACCCAACAAGACAGACTAACAGACTAAATGAGTTATAACTTGTTCTTCTCATTGCTATCTCCAACTGCTTGCACAATTAACCCTCACAAGCTGCAGGGAACAAAATTTTGAACATGCAAGTCAAAAAATGTCTTCTTACTTACCTGGTAAATCTTGACACTTTCCAGAAACTCTGGGACGCTTAGGTCGGTGTCCAAAGTTTTCTGTGGTTGAAGTGGAAGCACCCTGTATTTAAAAAGTCGTAGAAAATATTTAGAAATGTTATGTGCCTCAAAATAAATTAACATCCTTTAGGCAGTTATCCATCTCTAAAATTCCTAACAGACGTACCTCCATGCTTGGCTTTGTCGGACACACTGTTCTCTTGGGTAGAGACTTTCTTCTAAGTTGGTATGGACTATTCTGGGCTCCAGGACCGGATTCTTCTGCAACCATATCTGCAGGAACGTCCTCATCTGGAAAAGGTGGAAGATAAAACCAATGATTATTTACAGCTCAACATATTAAACCAATACAACAGATAAACCTGTGTTGATGTGTTTTCAACAGATTTTTCGGTGTAACATTTTAGTATGCTCATTAGGAAAACTAGTTTAAAACTGACTGTCCAAAGAAACCAAAGACCAAAAGAAACCAAAGCACAGCATAATCTTTTTCCTTTTCACTCTGCATGCATTTACTTAACCTATGTGGTGTAGCTTTCTCTGCTTTAAAGCCCTGAAGCATGTGTCTTTATCTGTAAATACAGACATTAATTTGCATGCATGTGTTGAACATTTGGTTTAACAACAGGCATGACTTCACAACTTTAATTCATTGTTTAAAAAAAGAACAACAGCACAGATTCAGCTTCCTTTACAGCATTTACCTCACAGGACAAAAGCCAGTAAAAGAGGTTGTTTGACTATTACCTGGTGTGTGAAGAACAAGCTGATTACAAATCCTATCAACAGGAGATTCAAATAATTGGAAAATTGAACTAATCAGAATATGAACCCTCAGCTAAACGAGACACACAGTATGTTTATAAGCCTATTCACCAAGGTATGATGAGTTGATAGCTACTCAACTAAACCAGAGCAACTGCTTGTTGCTCTGGTTTCAAGGATAACTCTCACTGGCTACTAGGCCTGTAACCACTACAAACAGTCTGTTAGACCCTGCAGCAGAAAAAGCATGCTCTCATATAAAGCTGCAAAACTGACAAAAAGCATAGGTTCTGCTGACTTGTTTAACTAAAACATAACAGACACTATCATGTGGAATAGGCAAAGCGGCTGTTGGGTATCTGTTATCTACTATGCCTTGCCCAATTCATCTACTGCCATGAAATCACAACTGAGCTACACTGCAATTGTGGCAATGAATAAATTAACTGAGAAATAGAGATGAAGTCAAGTAATCTAATAAGTTATTTTTATTAAGATGAACATGACGGTTTAGTTTATGATGCTCTATTTTGTAAACATTAACACATCCAGCACATCTTAGGTTAACTGCCAATTGATGCTGTGAGCTCAAACATCACAATATGAGATTAGTCCAACTGTAAATCAGATTAAAAAACACAAACCATTAATGTGGCTTATTGGTGTCCCTCAAGGCCGACTGGGTCTTTACTATAGCTCTTTCAGGCATAGCAATTGTGATTAAATAGCATCCTTTGCAAGGAAATGTTTATTTTGGGAGAAAAAAATCGCTGGTGTTACACCGTCTGTTAGACAGTGCTACTGTAACAACTAAAACATAATGTGACTAGGCCAAATAAACGAAATAGTATTAACGACTAACCTATCTCGCAATGCCATGTTACTGTTATAATGGACATGAAGTTTTTAGAACGACAGGACGCAGACAGCTAGCCAAACAGGCTAATAATAACAGCTAAACTAGCACAGGCTAGGTTAAATTAGCATGCTACGACAACTGGCAAAACCACTTTATGTCTCCTCCCCTGCGTTTGTTACCCATAGAACCAGCAAACCGATGTTTATCACATGTCATTTTCTATATTAATCGAATCTCACATAACACAAAACACAGCTAAACACCAGCGCGAGGTGAGAAAAGCAAAAGAAAGGCCGACTCGGAGAAAAAAAAATCTAGCAAAACAAAGCGCGGCCTGAATGCTAACTACTAACACAAAAGCATCGGTGTTTCCTGGCTGCATAGCGACCCTTGGTGATCGCTCTTACATTCACAGCAACCAACTTTACCTTAATGTGCGCGCATATAAACAACAAACAAACGACAGGCCTAACTGCCCAAAAAACAAAACACGCAATTCAACCTCAAAACCTGCTATAATTCACTCCAGTAATGCTAACACTCGCTGAGCTAGCGTTACCTCTTTCCTGGTGGTTCCTCTCCGGCTGCACCGGGCGCGGCCTCGATACTCGCCTAGGTCTTCTGCTAACGTTACTTGCTCTGACGGAGTTCATTTGGGGTGTTGGTAATCTTGAGGAAATATCGAAGCCTTCACAGCAGAAGAGGCAACGCCGAGGACACCGTCTATGTCTTTTTCGTCAGCATTGCACAATCTGCCATCTTTAGCCGAGGCTTCCGAGAAACGTATCGCGGTGTGTTAACTCCCGTTTCCCCGCACTGGTATTACGTCTAGCCCCGTTCTACTGTAGCAGGAGGAGCCATAACAGACGGGTACAGTCCGTCAGGCCTCAGTCACATCACATGGGAGGACCTCTCGCCATCACGTCGCCTTCCTCGTTCAAGGCGGTCTATTTAACAGTGTTACTTTAGCCCTTTAGAGCCCAGCCTTTGGAGCGTCTATCGTGTGAGAGTCTGCTGTGAGAAACAGCCAACCTCTTGATGTGGGTAGTGTAGTCAAAGTCTACATTTGCGACATATTGTACTAAATACAATAATTAATTTCACTCGCATGTGCTGTACCAATGTACCTGCACATGTGATGTGACCATAAAATTGATTTGATTTGATTTTGATTTGATTTGAATTACAAGTATCATTTACTCAAAATACCCAATAAGGCAGATCATAGCACTGGTTATATTATGATAGAGTTGACCACCTGACATAGACTACATAAAAGGCAACGAATATAATTGCTCAAGTAAGAAGATAATTTCTGCACGTGGATTAATAAAGCCTCTCATCATTATTATTTATTTACCTCATGAATAAACTGAGCTTAACATTAAAAGCACAAACTCCTGCAGGGATTCAGATTGTAAACATCGGTAGCCCACATCTTTTGAACCGGTCCTGAAACCAGTGTTCCTCAGCTTATCAACATCTGTTGATTTTTATTTGTAAACTAAATAATGAAAGTTGGACTTCTGCTAATGAGGTCTTCTGTAAACAAAGGAGAGGACAAAGTGAAGCCTTTACAGAGTGTTTGTTGAGTTTACCAGGATTAATAAATCTTGTTACCTCAGAAGTCAGTTACTCACTTGTCAGATAAACCTTTCACACTTTGTGTAATCCATATTTTATTTTATTGTAACAGGAAGCTTGACTTACACTTTATAATTGGTCTGAGCAAAGGCTAGGTTAAATAAGACAATAGTAGCCTTTAGCAGCAACATAATCTATGTTGTATAATAGTAATACAGAATCAGAACTATGGACATTTTTTTCTACATTTGAAGTTTTGCATGTTTTGCCACTGCAGGTACAAATAAACTGACATACCATGCCAAATTAAAACCTGGCTATTTGTCTGTTGGTGGTGCTATTCAGCAATACCAGAGGGCTGCTATGACTTGTGTTTAAAAAATATGTGTTTAAATGTGTCACGTTTGCAACACATTTAGACAACAAAACACAAACGTTTCCTATTAATAAATGTAGACATAAAATAAACAATGCAAAATACAACCTTGTATTCGCTTGTATGACAAAGGTAAAAGTTTTTCAGATTAGGCTCCTAATTCTTTTCCGTTGTGAAGTGTTTGATCTCATATTGCCAAGGTCAAAAAACAACTTTCTCAATGATTGAGTCTTATGATGTATTTAGAAGAATCTCCAGATTTCAGTCAAGGGCATGTTCACAGGTTCAGTCAGTGATTCATTTTACATTTACACTTTTTTTGTGCTGTACAAATTGCTAAAGATCACGTTTTTGTCTTCAGATAAACTAAATTGACTCATAAATTGACTCATACAGAAAAATTTTCATTTTGTGTGTGTGTCCAAGAAATCTTTGTCATATGCATAGCTCACTGGCAAAACAATTATTATCAATAATCATTAAATTATTATTATTGTTCTGCAGTTACATAGTGAAATATGAAAAAGTGCAATTACGTCACAATTACATAAAAGCATGGGATTCAGATTTAGAAGGGATTAACGTAACTGATCTAAACACTATTACATTTTCTAAGTACAGTATACATTATAGTGAATAAATATTTTAATGTGCGCTCATTAGAGGAGCAATCCATAATTTTTCAACATCAGTTTTCTCACCAACACTCATATGAACAAAGCAACGATCATTTTTGATTTGATTCAGTGGTTTTAAAACATGGGTTTCTGCTGGGATTTGTGTAATTTGATTCATATCAAGTAAGGCTGCAACATCCTCCTTTAAGTCATTCACAGTCTTCCACATGCTATTCTTAAAGAGTGTTTTATGTTTGCTAGTACAGGACTTGGTTTGATGCTGATCCCCAGAGAAGGGCTTCATATTTGTAGCAATACGGAGAGAAAATAAAATGTTTTTATTCAAAATAAAGGTTTCCTTTTCTCTGTTATTGAGCCTGTCAGTTGTGCACCTTAGCGCAGCTCCTCTCAGCTGTGTTACGTGTGGACCTTTTAAATGTTTGTTGAACTGTAATACTGGACTTCCCTGCCCTGAAAATCCACTATCACGCTCAAACGTCATGTTTTTGGTGAATAAACTAAAACCTTTGAAGAACCTTTTTTATTTTCAAATGTGCAGTATCTCATTAATGTCTCCTCTGACACAACATTTGTCAGAGGAGACATAACACAGTTGACAAAGCAATGGATTGAATGTTTTTTTCCATTTAAATCGCTCAAAAATCAAAGTGTAAGATTTGCAATTAATGGATTTTGCACTCTGCTCCTTTTTTATCTTTCACCTTTTAGTTGACATAAAATCTGCCTCTAATTAAAATGTAAAATGAAATGTAAATTTGGCAGACAGTTTGAAGACACAAAAACAATACATGTGTTTATCTAGCACATTCATTTAAGATCTCTAAAAATTAACCCCAGGCTGTACATGAAGCTGTCAAAATGCAGGTGTCCACATGGTGCTTAGCCATGGTTGGCTAGAGTAGCTATAGAGTGGCTGCGCTTTGCTACCTGAGGGTCAGTGAGTCATGAATTGCGAGGCCATCTGTCCAAAAAGCTGTAGTGAATTATGATCCTATACCCACAGGAAAATCCAGCAAGAAGCCTTGAAACACAGGAATCAGGGATTATGGAATTGCTAAACTCTGAATCCTATAGTTCTAACATTTACGAGAGATGGTGACATGTGTGGTTGCCCAAATGCGTAGTATAAGATTATGGATAGAGGAGAATAATCTTAATTTACTGATAGCTGTCTAAAATCCAGAGTTATAGGTTGTACATGTGAAATCTTATGATATGACAGAATGCATTCTGTGAATGAAGGGGGAGTTTGCTCTTTTTAATTTCTGTTGTTTTTTCATATAGATTTTTTTTAAAAATTCAGTTTAGTATCAGTTAAGAAAGTTAATATTTAGAAAAATCAGTACATGTATTTTTGAAAGCAGTTGACTCTCCTTCTGTTGTAGACATCAGGAGTCTAAATAAACACATTCATCAGGCAGACTGTAATACAATTTTTACCAAACTAACAGATACTAGAACTGAGGCTTTTTATTTTCTATTTTAATTCTATTTTCACAAAATATTTTATAGGTTCGTTTTGTTTTTCTGTTTTTTTTCTCTTCCAAAAGTTTATATATTATACGTTAACTAAAATGTTTTTTAAATTTTGATTTTAGTTAACTATCATAACCTTGGTTGTGAGTGTAGTTCGATTGTCCACTAGATGTCTCATTTTCTCTACCTTTGAGAATTCACTATTTAGCCTCACAGGAAGCCTCCATGGTCCACTTCCTTTTTGTCTCCATTTTTTTGTCACTGCTTTGCTTGTTAACATTTTTTTTCTTCTTCTTTTTCCACAAACTTCCCAGGTGTTTGTGAAAATGTGTATATATATTTACTTTTCAGGCACTTTACCTCAGAGCACTACCATGCCTACGGTGTTGTTTGTGTCATATAGAAGAATTATGTTCTCTGATAGTCTTTTCACACTGCTCAATGGGTTGATTATGTAAACATTTGCTTGTAGGATGTCAATATGTGCCTGAGGTGACAACATTCTAATTAGCATATTTTTTCTGCTGTTCTAAATGAATACCTCTCCACTGATTAATCAACTACCTACAGAAAATGAGTCACACTGAGCTGCAAAACTGGGTCTGCCCTACAACTGGAGGTGGCAGCATCCTCAGAATGCCTGCATTTACAGTATCTGTATTTCTTGTTTGTGCATCTGTCTGGTTTCGTGTTGACTTAGCACCAGGACCACTTGTGAAGGCTTGCTGCTGTGCTCTCTGACATCTCTGCATGTTTATCATCTGTCTGATGAGTTTACTGGTGATCGACCGCATGAACGGAGTCTCTCTGAGATTCTTGTTTTGAACATTGGAACTGTTGTGCCATTTACTGAAAGTTCTTACTGTGGTAAAAAAAAAAATTGTGTAATTTATTGATAAATCTGCAGCTATCTGCAACTTGAAGGCTTAGTTAAGTTGATTAGTTTGTCTGAAAGGACAAACTGTTTACCTGTGTCTTCACTATGCAGTTGCTGTTGTTTTCTGTTGATACGATGCTTGGACTCTGTGTTGCTATGGCCAGAAGGAACATTTTTCTCTCTGTCTTACATAATCTTCATTTAATGCATTTTTGTACTTCCATTTTTCATACGGGATCAGCAGTCCTTTAAGAAAATGTAGACAAAAAGATGACTTCACCTAAGCCGGAGTCATGGATAGCCTAACTGTCAAGATTTTGGTTCTTCTTTGACACTAATCTGCTGGAGATAGGACAGTGAGGCACATGTGTTGGCTTGGTAACCAATCTAGTATCCAGTGGCAACAGAGGTCTATTGAATGCTGGGCAGCTCTACATTAGCTGGTGTGCCCACCACTCTCCTGTGTCACCAAGTTGTGGAGGCATATTCATATAGGGCCCTGCAGCAAAGGTAGGTTAGTGCAATGTTCACCTCGTGGGCCAACATTGTGTGCATGTGTGATCAGATATAGGTCATCCCTGTGCTGGTTTTACAAATGCTCTTTTTGTTGAACAACTTAACCAGCCTGCAGGTGGTAGCACTCTCTCTGTCTCACTATGTAATTTTCTCAATAAGGTGCACTTGCTTAGTCTATGTTTAAGTCCTTGTTTCAAATAACCTCTCTTCTTCACATCACAGCCTCTCTTGAAAACAAGCCGAACATGTTGTCTTGATTCTCACTCCACGTCTGAAGGCATCTGCAGGCGCAGAGGCAGACACAACAGGATAAGCGTCTTTGTCTCAGACTCCTGTCTGTCAGAGATCCCCACCCACCCCTCACACACCTCCCTTTCCCCCCCAGCCTCCCATCTATTTGGGCGGCTGTTACAGAGAGGGCAGATGGCTCATTACCATAAATAGGACAGAGAGAGAGAGTGAGCAAGGGGGCCGTGCACACCAACTAACAGGACCACGCCGCCCAAAACTAAGGAAAT